TCTTGTGGTCCTACCTATATACTGTTTGTGGCAGATGGTACAAGAATCGGGTCTGACAATTAACTAACTGGTTCATTTTAAATGTAGTAGCATTAGAATAAGAAGTCACAAGATGATTATCACGCGAAATACTGCAGCTCGAAAATTTGCGCCCAGCTACGCCAACTTTTACATGGGTTGGTGGGAGGAGCGCAACATCTTTGCAGATATTACTATTACGAAATGGGTTCTTAAGAGTATGAAGGTACAGATTATAGAAAGTTGATACACCTTTAAAAGGAGGGGATCAAGCTTCCCTTTTGTCAAAAAGGGAAGTTTTTTGGATTTTCAAGCTAGACACTCGCATTCCCAGAGGTTTAACCACTTGCTGACCGCGGTGTTTACACTCCCTTCCTGTGCAGGCCATTTTTCAGTATTCAGCGCTGCGGTACTTTGACGTTTATTCCGTCATGTAACGCTGAACTGAAATTAATTTTATGCAATTTTTGGGGGACAGATAGAGCTGTCTTTTGGTGGTATTTAATTACTACTGGGTTTTGTTTTTTTTTACTATATAACGAAATAAGTACCGAATATTAAAAAAAACAAAAAAAAAACAACTGGGTTTTCCTTTTATGTTAGGAAACATTTATTATTACCCAATTTTTTGATAAAACATAAAAGACGGGGTCACATCGGGTAAATAGACACCAAAAATGTAAAGCCTTAAAATTGCACGCACCCGCGAAATCGCAAAAAACTACCATAGGCGAAATTGGCCAAATGCGACGCTTTGAAAGATTTTACCGCTCATCAGTTTCCTCTCTCCCTATGAAGATGGCTCTAGAAGTATTGCTCTCACTGCGACGTTCACAGTGATATGCAATAAGTGCTGCGCAATTGGGCCAATCATCGTTTTTGCGTGTAGGCGCACCGAACGCATTTTTGTGCATCCATGTATTTTTTTTTTTTTTACAATTAACTTTATTCTTATCACATAGGGGTCCCTCTATGTGATATAAAATTATAGTGACAGGTCCCCTTTATGGAGACATCAGGTGTCACTAAGACCCCTAATGTCACCTAGGGACCCCGAGAGAAGTTGATGAGGCACAGATCTGCTTCATCAGCTTCACTCCGGTTTCTGTACTGGAGAGTGACAGAGGAATGCAGAAATGATGTAGTAAACATCACTTCCTGCATTCAGAGACGGGGGAGGAGAGAGATTGTGTGCTGATCTCCCTCCGTTCTTAGTGCACAGAGCCACATCGCCCATCCTGGATCGAACGCCTGGGATAGCGACCATGAGAAGAGGTAAGGAGGGGGTCGTCACAGAGACTTGCATAATACAAGCGATCAGGCGTCTTTACAGACGCCGGACTGATTGTATGTAAACAGCCATCGCTGGCTGTTTAAAATTCTGGCTGTTTCACGCGCGGGCGTGAAGGACGTCAAAAGACACCCACCTGCATTCAGAAAACTCCCTGTTTGCTTTAAGGACACGGCATCATTTGGATACATATCTGCCTTTATGAAGGAACATACGCTCATGTCTTTTTGGTGTGTCTGATCGACACAATGGAAATAATATGGCGTTTTCCCTGCAGATAAACTCACATTCATGGGAATAGTAGTATACAGTAGTTCTATTAGGCATTGTTCACTCAATCTTGCTGAATGGAATTCGCTCCAGTGGTAACGGCGAGAGTGTACGCACGAGTCTGATCGGAGCAGCATTCCCAGTTAACACGCTGATTCCTTTGTCTAGTCTTCTGGGGCGAACTCCGCTGCACACGGTTTTCATTGTTAACTAGTGTGCACGGAGTTCACATGAACTGGCAGCGGGGGACTGTGCACGTTATGCTGCACATTCACGAACATATACTCCCCTTTTCTATTCAAATGTATACATGTGTCTCATTGGCTGACTGTGTTATGTGAATGTATTGATTAATTGATTGGCTGTTGTGGCCATCTTTGTCTGCTGTTATCCCTTTTTGTCCTATAAATAAACGGAGCTCCCTGCACTGGACAGGACTTTTCTACTGAGCATCCAACGAGAGAACAGCTTGTGTCTGTTTTACTTGGTGCCGCTGAGCGCGCTCCATCATATTATACAAAAGAGCTGAGAACTGTGCTTTTTAGCGCAGCAGATTTATATGTGCATGAGCATATATTAATAACCAAGACAGTACTTAAAAGTACGCACGGTCCTTTTGTCTCCTGCAGAAGGCCATGGTGGGACCGTAGACCATAACAGATATAGGTGTCATATGCATCTCTACCTGTTCTGCCCGAGATAGGTCTAATACTTGGGCGTATCTGTATATCGCCACATGAGCGTGTTAGTAATGGGACATGGTCTAATGAAAAGTGACGATAGGCATCTAAACTTGATAGGAGACTGACTCGAGGCAACCGGCATTTAGCAACCTTTCAACATCTGAATATGAGTCACCTACGTTAACCATATATATAGTTTCGAACGTTCACTTACACATTTTTCTAACTGTGGATGCAGTTTTTTTTTTTACATACACTTTTGATCCATTAATTTACATGTGTTATAATGTTAATTTTAGTTTTACTCTTAACTAATGAGTGGCATCCTTCTCCTGTTTGTAGATATGCTTGTAAAATATGTATGTATATATGTTCATGGCGATTAAGCTATGCGTTTTATAGAGCTGATATTTTGGTCTATTCGGGTGAGAGGAGCCACTTATCTGTTTTAGTTACTCAATTATGTATGTATTTATTTGTTTTTACACTTGTACATTTGTATGTATTCTCAAGGGAGTTTGATATTTTATTTTATATATTTATCTTTTGTGCACTGTTTCACACCCTGCACAGTTGACAGGAAGATTGCGGTTTGGTGAGATTGAGTTAAAACATCTGACTTTGTTTGATATTGTTGGTATGGAGATATAATATGTATGATGGGATTAGTAGTTTCTTTGTGCTCTACTGCCCCTTATACACAAGCCAGTTTAGAATTAACCAATCCATCAGTGAGCATTGCTTCCTGCATCTGTGTAGGGTGGAGTTTTTGAACACATTTAAGTGAGATACTGGTCTGTATTTGTTAACAGGAATCTGCGCTCTTGGAAAACACTAAAACCGCAAAGCTGCTATGAAAAAAAGGTGAGTCTTGAAAGTCTAATGAAAACAACACAGCGCTGAGCGTGAATATAAATAAATAAATCTCTTAACACATGTGCTGATATGTGATGTTATTAAAAATCTTAAAATTAATGAAAAGTGAACGATGAAGGATAAACCAACCGCATAAACCTTCGAAATCACTTAATCTTACTAATAAAACTAAGTTAATCAAAAAACCAAAACAAATCAATCCAGATTGGATGATTCAACCATACTGTAACAATTCATAAAATATGTGATACATATAAAGTGATAATCTGAAACAATCTCAGTTGGAGAATCGTATCAAGTGACAGTGAAAATAAGTTCAATAATAAACATAAAAATGGTGAAATATATTCCTCCGTGATCTCCTCTCTTGTGCCACGCACCCCCCCAAAAAATGGGTATTCACCAGATATAGTGAGTACGTACAGCGCCTGTGAATAAAATAATCCGCTAGTCCTCAATCTCACTTGCCCAGTTTAATCCGCTCTGCTGATATAGGCCGTAAGAAAAGCGCCGTCTCTCCCCAAAGAACAGCACACTCCACTGTCTATCCGTTAAATATATGGCAGCGTCTCCCAGTTCAGGTTCCACGGTCCCCCCGCTCTCTCGAACTTGGAAAACGTTTAGAGGGATAGATAGAAAAGGACTCTCATGGTGCAGTACAATGACTAATAGAATTTATTGAAAGTAGCAACTTACATAAAAGACTTTTAAAATTCGGCCGGGCATACAAATGGATGAAACTTCAACGAACACAAAGCAGTAAATACCATATGTCAAACAGATCCGCCCCTTGACGCGTTTCGTCAGATATACTTTGTTAGACAATGTATATTGGTTTGATCTGAATTCATTATGGCTTGTTCACACCAAATGCAAACCAGATCTGCATGAGTTTCTGCACACACAGTGCAGTGGGTTGTGCCATGTTTTTGATGCATTCTGGGCCGTTTTTGGTTTAAAAAATAGTTTAGAATGGGCTTTGGGCGTTTGCATGCGTTTTTGATGCGTTTGCATGCATTCCAGAGCAGTTCAAATAGGACTTGCTGCAGTTTTTTTTACATGCTCCTGAACTGAATGCTGCGGTGTAAACTAGAGCCCAAAATACCATTGGAATACATTGGACGCAGTTTTGATCTGGTCTGTAACTGCTCTGCTCCTGGAACGCGCTTGGTGTGAACCTGGCCTTACTGTGCAGGGGATCGGTGGCCGATGGGCTCTGTATTTGTTACCTGTATGAATAAGCCTACGGGTGAAACATGTGAGGGGTTGTAGCTGGTTGGGGGGTTTGCAGTGCTGGTATTTGCTGCTTTATACACATTAATTCACTGTTATACTGTATTAGATGTGAATTTAAATAAAGTCTGAAGTATTAGAATTCTCTGGATAGTGCAGTCTGTTCGTATACTACTACATTCCAAAGTGGAGATGCACCTATTAGACCAGCACCTGGGGAGTCCTGATGGCGGCTAAGGAATTGGAGTGGGGAGATTTCCTTTGGCTCCTGAGTTTAGTGTCACTTTCAGTTCACAAACAAAACCTCATGACAGATTGCCAAGAGGCAATGATCAAGTAAAAAGTTATAACAAAATAAAAAAGGACCCTGGCATACCTTTCAACGTAGCTTTGTTACTTGACCTTGAAACACACCTAGGTGTTGTCTACAACAGCACACACCTATTCACCCATGAGAATACAGGCAGATTCAGAAGCGTAGGAGTAGGTTGAATTAAGTAAACAGTTGGAATGGTTACAGACAGGGCATTTGTGCAGTAGTTAGTTCACACTACGAGAAAATCCAAACAGACAGTTTACACTACAAGGAAACCCAGACAAACAAGTCTAACAATACAATTGTGTCTTACCTCTAGTATCCGATCTCCCTCCTGCAGTCTGCCATCCACAGCGGCAGCTCCATTCTCCTTGATGCTACTAACGTATATGCCACTGTCATTATGAGACACGTATTGCTGGTCTGTGCCACCCACAATGTTGAACCCTAGGCCTGAATCAAGGAGAAAACACAACACATGAGACAAGTCACAATAGCTTAAAGTGCATGTCAAGGAAAGATTTTATTACTACATCTCTATCAAACATTCACATTTCTATATGGCTTACCTCTTTAACCACTTCAGCTCTGGTACCTTTATACTCCTAATGGACCAAAGCAATTTTACACTTCCACTATGGGCCTCTTTATCCAGCAATAACTTTGTCAAAGCAAAACAAATCCGATAAAAACATTTTTGCAACAATTTTTGACCAGGATTAGTTTTATTGTAAATAAAAAGTGCACAATTTATTGTATAATTTGTTCCATTGAAAATGACACTAAAGTGATGCTTTTGATACAAAACATGACTAATTTATTTGGAAATAACGTTTTGTTTATTTTAAACAAAATGTTTTTTTACGCAGAGAAAAAGAAAACCAAATAATGAGAGTTTTATTAGGGATACATTTTATTGTAGCTATTTGTAAAGCTTAATTTTTTTTATTTTTTTTGCTTGTAAGCCGAGGTCATGCAGGTTAAATGCCATACCTTTGATCTACCTATGAATGTACTAGTAAATACAATAAAACAAGATATTTTTTCAGTGAGGATTGCAGACTATCTCTAATTCCCTGTTCACAGCTATGTGGTTCGTCACTAAAATCTAAAAATCGACCCTCTACACAAGAAATGCCATTCATTTCAATGGCCCCTGTTCACGCCTGAGCGTTTTGTCACAGGCTGTAAAATGCTGAAAAAAGTATATGAGCTTCTTTTTTTCCACTTTACAGCACATTTTGGCCCATAGTCTTCGATTGAAAACATGCAAATAAATGCATTTATGCATTTTCACATTTTTTGTATGCGTTTTACACAGCTGCAGAGGTCCTCCCCCTCTGTGCCAAGCATAATGGGAGACAAAATAGAGGATTCTGCACCCTACAATTTTGGTACAGAGTCCTTCATCAGGCTAGTACTGTCCCAGCCCTGCCTGTACGATCAACGGGACCTCAATTACAAAAATTGTGGAAGGGGGAACCAGAAGTGGTCGGAACATGCTGGGAAGATATGGCAACAGAGGGAAACCTTTACTCCAGCCAACCAAGACTGCAAAGGTAAACATGTGCATGCAATATGTGTTGCATGTTTTCATGTTAACTGCTTCAAGTTTGCTGCATCAGCATCGCATTGCAGCATCGTGTTTTTGCTTGCAAAACAATCCCCAGCTTCACCTGCCAGCTAGCCTGCAACCAAACAAATTACCCTGTCAACAGTATGCGTTAAAATCAGAGGTTTTAGTTGCACAAACTTTTGGCCAAAAATATGTAGGAGCCACACCGCCGCGCCAAGGCACCTCTGCAAAGTGTGGTCCTAACTCTATGTAAACGAGTCTCCAAGTGTGAGCATATTAATGCAGTCGATAAATTACATGCAGGTGTACCTGGAGGTAGCCAACTCCTCCTAATAAGGTGCAGGGAAGCACTGGGGGCCCAGCAACCCAGAATGCACGCTGGGACCCCAGTGCGTCCCCATCTCCAAAAATAGTCGTATACATAGAGTTAGGACCACACTTTGCAGAGGTGCCTTGG